TGTATTTGTCCTTCTGTGTATGTTGTAGGAGATGGTCTCTCTGAAATTATTGGGCCACTTCCTCTAAGTTATCAGATTTGTGTCAAGTGCATGTTTATGATATTGTTGAAGAGCCCATGGATGGTAATGGTGGCTATTTTTAACTCTAATGGGTAGTGTCTGTGTCTTTGGGTTTCTTATTTGTTTAACGTTATTGTATTTCTCTATACCTTTCTTCTATTTATTTACTTTGATGTGCTGGTATGGATTCAACCCAGTGTCTCACTGGTGCTATATGTGGCTCTGAGAATGAAACCCAGTACCTCACACATGCAAGGAGAGTGAGATACAGCTTAGCCCCAGCACCAGCCCCTGCTGATTTCATGATTGTGGTTTCACCAACACCCCCTCTTACCCGCATGTGCTTAATGAATACTTACCTTGCTCTTTTTTCTCTCCTTTCCTTAAGTACAAGGGTCAATGATTGCTTTTATCTCTTCTTTTCTGGAATGTGCTTTGGATGCTGTAGAGAACCCCAGTGAACCATCTGTGCTGTTTTCCCATTTTGGACTTTTATATTTCATTTTTCTCAACATGGTCACATTTGCCCTTAAGTCACCTCTTCCTCCTGTGTCTTTTTAGAGCCCTATGTTGCATCTCCCATTGCTTAAAGGTTTTCCAGGTGCTTCTGATCTGATTTCTGCTTTAACTCCCATGTTCTTTGAGCCTGCTTGGGATTTCACTGGCATTGCATATTTGTTGAGGTGAGGCTTATGGCTCAGAATGTGGCCTGTTCTGGGTGGTGGTACTGTGATCCTGAGAAGGCTGTGTGTTTCACTTTGACTAATGGCCAGGGAAGCCCTCCTGTCTGTTGCTCTGCTACATGATCACAGACCCAGCAGTATTGTGGTGAGGTCTCCCAATGTAGCAGTTTATTCTTCATTATCCTGGGAAGTTTTGTATGTCTCTGCCTGATGTATTTTGACTTTTTTTCAGGTGCATGCATAATAACAATTCAAGAGAGTTACTTGAAAATTTAGCCTAGGGCCCCCACATCCTTTTAATCCGAGCAGTTCAGGACTGTTAGACAGGAGGATCACAACTTCAAAGGAAGGTTCATCAAGTTAGGCACTGAATGACTTAGAGAAATTCTCTCTCAAAATAGAAATAATTAAAAATAAAATAGGGCAGTGGGGAATGTGGCTTATTTGTTATGCACCCTTTGGTTCAATTCTTGGTACAAAATATAAACAAACGAATGAATAAATGAATAGAAACATAATTTATCCCAGGGATTCTGGAGTCTTATCTTACTCAGGCATGGTCAATCTCACGTCTGTTATTTTCCATTCATGAGTTATGTTTTGCTGTTCCTCAGTATTCTTTGTATATTTTTTTAAGTGAATGAAATATGTTTCTTGGGTATGGGGTTGTGGCTCAGTGGTAGAGCGCTTGCCTAGCCTGCATGAGGCACTGGGTTTGATTCTCAACACACATACAACTGAAAAAAGTTCCATCAACAACTGAAAAATAAAAAAAAAAAAGAAAATGTGTTTCTTCCTTTTGTCCTATTCTGTGGTTTCTGTTTGTTGAAGGCTTCATGCCTTTGCCTAGAGACTAGGTGTCTGAGCTATGTCTAGCAAATTATTTTGTATTTAGCTCCTTTGAAAAATTTCCCTGAATGCTAGATCATCCAACAGAATGAAAACTGTAGCAGTTTCAGAGCTGATAGGCTGTGGTTTTGCAGACTGACACCCACCAGCTGTGCTCTCTGACATTTCACCATGAGGGCTGGCAACAGCTGCAGGTACCTGTAATGCAATAGCAGAAGCAGCCAACAAAGTAGCAGACAAAGAACAATCCCTCTTCAGGTTGAGCATAGTAAAAGTCCCAAATGTGTATGAGTCTTTAGGCCATTGGCAAGCTTGTTCCCATATAAGAAATAAAAAATTTACTGTCCAATATATTGCCCCAATTTTCTTTCTTGATGTCCTCAAAGCTTGTTTATGTATAAAAGTAAAAGCCCTGATGTTCTGTGGGCTCACGCTTTGGGAATTATTTTTCTGGGGTGTAGTGCAACTAACAAACTGTTACTGCCAGATCTCAGTGTCCCTTGGCCTCATTTTTCCGAATACCAGAAACTAGAGAATAACAGTAGAAACAGCAAAACCTCACTTGTCTGGTTTTTGTGAGTAGTTGTGCTGGGGCCTGTGCTTTAACACACAGTGGTGCTATTTAAAACCCTGCTGTGCCTTTGCTCTGCAGATCCCCACCTGGAGAGCAACCAGTGCTGAGCATGTGGGTCATGGTCCTCTTTAATATTTCCTCCTAGTCTGTGTGAACTTCCTTCTTTCATCAGTATATCTCGGTGGTTTTATTTGGGGGAGCATACTGTGGAGTAAATCCTCGGGTGCTTAACCACTGAACCAAATCCTCAGCACCTTCCCCCTTAACTTTTATTTTTGTTATCTTTCATTCAGAATTTTACCAACCTGCTTAGGGCCTAAGTAAGTTGCTAAGGCTGGCATTGAACTTGAGAACCTCCTGCCTCAGCTTCCTAGACCTGGGTGTTTTTAAAACCTGATTTTTAAAAGAAACTCTCTGAAGCTTTCTTGGTCAAATTTTAGGTGATGTTTGAGTGGGTAGACAATAGTTTGCTTTCTTGCTATTTGCAGGCTGTTTGTTTACTTAAATCCTTTTAAGGAATTTCTGCCTATTTTTTATAGTGATTACTTCTGATGAAGAAGATTGAGAGTTAGTTTTAGGCGTTAATATATTTCCATGGTTGAGCTGGGGTTGTGGCTCAGTGGTAGAACACTCACTAGTACATGTGAGGCCATGGGTTCAATCCTCAGTACCACATTGAAAAATAAATAAATGAATAAATAAAGGTATTGAGTTCGATTACAATTAAAAAACAAAATATTTAAAATATATATATTTTCATGGTGATTTTAGTATGAATGTCCCAAAACTGAAGAAGATGTGCTGTGTGTAGTCTGGAGTCATAGAGGGTCAGGCTGAAGGTCAAACCATGGTTGCTGCACTACACTCTTCCATATGACTGCTTCACGGAGCTGTTGGAAAACTTTCAGGGCTTTGGGGCATGATGACATTGTTGTTCTGTTCTATTTCATGGCTGTACTGAGATGATTCCAGGCTCTCTATTGTGTCATTTTGCTCTCAGTGTTGAATATTTTTTTCTTCTAATCATTAGGGAATTGTATAACATGTTCTTCTACAAAACTAAATTTCTACAGGTGCAATGGTGCACGATTGTATTCCTAGCAGCCTTGGAGGATGAGGCAGAAGAATTATAAATTTAAATGCTACCCTCAGCCTCTCACAAGGCCCTGAGGAAGTTTTTGAGTACTGTGTCAAAATGGCATATGTGCTGGGAATGTGGCTCAGTCATTAAGTGCCCTATAAATAAATAAAATAAAATTTCTTGTAAGCTCATTAAATGTGTTTTAGTGTTTTACATTTGAATGCATAGTAAATGGATTTTTGTCTACAGAATTGAGGATATAGTGCCTTATAGTGCCTTTGGCCACCCAGATTCCAGTTTGCCTGGACCATCATTGTGATCTGTATCCAAGACACCTGCTCTCACTCATCTTTCCATGCTGTGAAGGCCAGCCCACTGAAGCCTTTCTCATGGTCTCTTGCTCACCTCTGCTGATACTGTGCTGCTCAGGAGATCACATGTTTTAAATCCTTGAGAATTGTTGTATGTCAGTAGCAGGGGCACCTTCTGGTAGGTGATATTTTTGGCTGTTCCATCATGGAGCAGACATCATAGTATTGTTATGATTGTACATGGAGTGGCATGTTTCACACCCAAACTGTGTTAGATAGGTGAGGATTCTGGGTTACAACCCTGCTTCTTTACACACCCTGGAAATGCTTCTGTCTTAGGTTTGTTTGAACCACCATCATTACAGGCAGGAGAAAATTCTTTCACAACAGACACCAGTGCACATGTGGCCCACTCTTGACCAAAGTGTGCTTGAATGGAACATGGCTATGTGGAACATGACCTTATGGTAGTGAAGTGATTGCTTTTCAATAGGTTATTGACAATCCTTGCACATTCACTGTTGCTGTGAGATTTAGAAATTCGTGTCTGCTGTTCATTAAGAAAAATGTTTTGAGACTTATAAAACCTTGCAATGTTGTTGTTTGGGCAAGGTGACATCTTTGGGTCATTGAGTTATAACTAAGACTTGTTCCATCTTTCCACTTACCTCATTCTGCTTTGACAGTAACCTTGAGAAATCATTAAGTTTTTGTGTTTATTAATCATTGTGCATGTTTCCTATTTTATTAATTTTGTTATGGAGAAATGCACCTGCAAATATCTAGTTGTTCTCTTCGTGTAATCCCACAAGATGAACACAATCCCCAGTTCACAAATTGTGGCAACCCGAGTGTCAATTTGTCTATATGCTGTCTGTAGGGGAATCTTCTTTGTGATCCATGCTCAGAAGTCACGGGTGGGGACTGTTCTAGGCATTTCCTTAAAGAAGGAACAATAGACTTTCTGAAAGAATCAAGAGATCAGCGAGTGCAGTGTTGTCTATATTAAGAGTGTAGGCACAGTGACCCACTGTGGTTGGCAGAATCTCTCTCAATTGCTGTGTTCTGTGATTGCAACAATTTCATACTCAGTCAGCTTTCTTTCCTAAGGGTAAGTACTATCGGGGATGCTAATATTAGCTCTCCACAGCAGAGAAGGCTGTTAGGACATGTAATAGAGGTGTTACTAACAAAGTGACTCATGATACTGTCTTACTTCCTGTGAACTCACCAATGGAAGGGAGTAAAACACTTAGTTGCTTGCCTTCTGAGTGGCCCAATTCTAGTGTTGAAATGTTTGTGAGGAATTTAGTGCAGGAAGGATTTGATGGACCAAATCATGGAAATTCATAGAATCCTGTGGACATCAAGCATGTTGAGTACATATTTCTTCTGCTGTCAATCTCTCCTGACCTCCAGTAAACATTTGTGGGAAATTTTAGATCTCAGTGACCTTTGAGGATGTGGCTGTGAACTTCACCCAGGAGGAGTGGGCATTGCTGGATCCTTCCCAGAAGAACCTTTACAGAGATGTGATCCTGGAAATCCTAAGAAACCTGGCTTTTATAGGTAATAATGATGTTTTTTAAAAAAATAATCAAATAGAGAACTCATGTTTATTTTTGTCATTTATATACAACATGAACAGGGAATATATTGTTGAATTATTGCAGCATAAAAGGCACCTACAATTTGGCAAAGCAGTTCTGTGTCCTAAGAATTCATACAGATTGTTCTGGTCTCTCATTTTAGAAAACAAATTGGATGAAAAGAATATTGAAGATGAGATCAAAAATTCTGAGAGCATTCTAAGGTAATTGTACCCACAAGAGGTGTATTTGAGGGAATCTGAGACTGTCATATAATTTTTAAAACAGACCAACTCAAGAAGTATGCACAATTTGAAATATATTTATTCTTATAAGATTTTTTTTTTACCAGAAATATATACTTAACTGTAACAGATATTCAGTTTTTTCTAATTACTTTGCATGCCAAAAGTATATGAAATTGCATGTGAATATCACTATTTGGATAATCACCATAGGGAAGCTGCATTGCAAAGGATTGTTTCCTTTCAATCTCTTGATTTTGAGGCAATTTGAACACATTAGGAAACCTCGCCTTTACCTGATGTTGATAGTAATGTAAGCCTAGGTCCTATAAATAAGTATAAAATCATGAATGAATCAAGCATTGATAATGTGCTGGTCATTCTTCAAAGAAGCCATGTGGTAAACTTCAATGGCCAAGAAGATAGTGTGGGGAAAGTTTCAATGAGATTCCAGTTCTTACCTGGACAAAGAAAAATTTTAATAGAGTAAATCCATGTGGTTATTATATGTGTGCCAAAGACTTCATATGCCCTTCATTACTTCATAGGCACATCACATCTCACTCTGGACACAAATGCTACAACCAGGAGGAATGTGAAGAGAAGCCACGTGAATTTAAACACTATAGGCAATCCCTGGCTTTTCTAAAAAATGTTCACACACAAATGTTAATACAAACTGGAGAGGGACCTTACGAAAGTACACTACGTGGGAAAGTCTTCAGTTGTTCTAGTGACATTCAAAGACATGAAGATACTCATACTGGGTTGCAACCCTATGAATATCAACAATGTGGTGAAGCCTCATCTTCTTCCACACGTGTTCAAAGACACATGAGAACACACAGTGTAGGTAAACATTTTCAGTGTGACATATGTGGGAAAGCCTTTCATTTTCCTTCTTTATTTAGAAGACATGAAAGAACTCATTATGGAGAGAAACTCTATGAATGTAAACAAGATCGTGAAACCTTTATTTCACACACAAGTCTTCAAAGGCAGAGGATCACACACATGGGGAATGCACATTTAAAATGTAAGGTATGTGGGAAAGACTTTGCTTACCCCAGTTTATTTAGAATACATCAGAGAACACATACTGGAGAGAAGCCCCATGAATGTAAGCAGTGTGGAAAAGCCTTTTCTACATCCAGTTACCTTAAAATACATGGAAGAACACATACTGGAGAGAAGCCCTATGAATGTAAGCAGTGTGGCAAAGCCTTTGCTAGTTCTACTGACTTTCAGAGACATAGAAGAACACATCCTGGAGAGAAGTCCTTTAAATGTAAGCAGTGTGGAAAAGTTTTTTCAAGTTCCAGTGAACTTCAGAGACATGGAAGAACACATACTGGAGAGAAACCCTATGAGTGTAAGCAGTGTGGCAAAGCCTTTGCTACATCCAGTAACCTTTACTCACATGAAAAAACTCACAATGGAGAAAAGCCCTATGAATGTAAGCAGTGTGGCAAAGTCTTTTCTACATCTAGTTACCTTCAGATTCATGGAAGAATGCATACTGGAGAGAAGCCCTATGAATGTAAGCAGTGTGGAAAAGCCTTTGCTACGTCAACTTCCCTTCAGATTCATGGAAGAACGCATACTGGAGAGAAGCCCTATGAGTGCAAGCAGTGTGGAAAATCCTTCACTAATTCCTCTGGCCTTCACTCACATAAAACAGTTCATAGTGGAGAGAAGCCTTATCCATGTAAGCAGTGTGACAAAGCCTTTGCTAGGTCCATTAGCCTTCAGAGACATAGAAGAATACATACTGGGGAGAAGCCCTATGAATGTAAGCAGTGTGGAAAAGCCTTCACTCAATTCTCTGGCCTTTACTCACATAAAACAATTCATACTGCAGAGAAGCCTTACCCATGTAAGCAGTGTGGCAAAGCCTTCGCTCGTTCCTCTGACCTTCACTTACATAAAAGAATTCATACTGGAGAGAAGCCTTATGCATGTAAGCAGTGTGACAAAGCCTTTGCTGTGTACAGTAGCCTTTACAGACATAGAAGAAAACATACTGGGGAGAAGCCCTATGAATGTAAGCATTGTGGTAATTTCTTTGCTTGTTGCAGTTACCTTGCCAAACATGAAAAAACTCACACTGGAGAAAAGCCCAATGAGTGTGAGCAGTGTGGCAAAGCCTTTTCTACATCCAGTTACCTTCAGATTCATAGAAGAATGCATACTGGGGAGAAGCCCTATGAGTGTAAGCGGTGTTTCAAAGCCTTTGCTAGTTCCAGTGAACTTCAAAGACATGGAAGAATACATATCGGAGAGAAGCTCTATGGTTGTAAACAATGTGAAAAAGCCTTTGTTACATCTGCTCAGCTTCACTTACATGAAGGAACCCATAGTGCAGAGAAATCATACTCATGAAAACAATTGGCAAAGTCTTCTGTTAATAATGTTTCACTCATTAACATGTAGTAATTTTTCTGTAGAAAAATTCCTTGAATGTGAAATGTGGGAAATCAATATTTCTTGTCAAAGTGAAAAAAGTGCTCACATGTCCAAATCAATCAATCAATCTATCTATCTATCTATCTATCTATGTATCTATCTATGTATCTATCTATAATACTGGGGATTTAGTCTGGTGGTCATCTATCACTGAGCCACAACCTTTTTCCTTTTTATTTTGAGAGAGGGACTTGCAGAGTTCTTTAGGGCCTTGCTTATGTGCTGAGTTTGGCTTCACATTTGTGATCCTTCTGCCTCAGACCCCGAGTCTCTGGGATTAAAGGCAAACACTACTAGATCCAACTGAATAAAGCTTTATATGTGAAGATTGGAAAATCATTCCATTTTTCCTGTTGCCTTCAAAGTCATTTCACTCACACTGAAAAACAAACCCTGAGAATGTGGAAGATTTGGTACATTCTGTCAGCTTCCCATCCCAGCCCTGCTTTCCTTCTCATATATGAAAATACAGAGAGAAACCCTGAGAATGTGATTAATGTAGGAAGTCTTCTAATTTTCCCAGTTTTTTATAAGGTCTGGGAAGACTCTTCTGGAAAGATTCATTTCAAAATGAATAAATCATGTGCAAGTAAGTGTTCAAGTGTTTCAGTTTTGTTCAGTTGTATGAAAGGACTCATACTGTAGAAAATCCTGTGGAAAAGCCATGTGGGGCAGTATTCAGCTTTCATGGTTTCCTTCAAAGACATAAAGGGATTCACATCAGGGAAAACCCTTCTGTTCTTTAAACAATGTGATGACACTTTCACTTTTCCATGTTCTTTTTGAACATCATGGAAGAACTCACTCTGGAGAAAATCCTTGTATATAAAAATGTGGTCAGACCTTCAGTTGTTTCAGATCCATTTAGACTTATTTAGATTTGAGAGATTTTGTTATTTTAATTTCTTTTACTTTTTTTTTTTTTTTTTTTTTGGTACCAGGGATTCAACCCAGAAACAATTGATCACTGAGCCACATCCTACTTCTTTTAATTTTTTTTTTCAAATATTTAGCCATGGTCTCACTGAATTGCTTAGGTCCTCACTATGTTGCTGAGGTTGATGTTGAACTTGTAATCCCCTGCCTCAGCCTGATTTTCCAGTGAAATTACAGTTATGCAACCCCTTCAGCAAGAAACTTCTTTTTTTGAGAAAACCACTGTAGGCGAGTAAAAAGGGTGTGTGACTTCATTTATTTTTTGTCTATTCAGAGGTAATTAGAATGCACCCTGGAGTTGATGTAGGAATTGTGTCAGCATGAAGATGTGAAGGCAACATGTTTCTCCTGGTTAAAATATCTCTTCCTGTTAGATTTAATTTTTCTCTCTATATTTTTTTGCATCTGTTGTCAACTCTCCCATATGATGACATAATCCTATATTTACTGTGTATGAGTTGGCAAAATCTAGTGTGTAGTATGGTTTTGTACGAAGAAGTATGATATAGAATAGTACACAAGCTTTGTATTTAAAATGTATTAACCTGTATTTGCAGCATTTTAATTTTTTTTAGAGTTTTCATCTCTCTTCCCTTGAGTTCATTTTCTTTTTTATTGTCCATTTTTATGACTTTTTATGTTTTGACAAAAAAAAAAAAATTGTGAGAGGTTTTCAATATAATTACCAGGGTCATAGAATTGAGGGCAAGAGAAAATAAACATTAATATTTTAATTATCATCATCATCATCATCACCACCACCACCACCATCATCATCATATCTAAAGTGCATAAGCCCTGATCCCATCCAGACCCGTTTTTATTTATTTATTTTTAAAATTTTGATTGAAGTGATTTTTAAATTCTAAAGGGACTCAGTATGTTGGTGAGGATGGGTTTGAACTTGTGATTCTCGTTCTATAGCCACTAGGATTACAGACGTGCTATCATTCCTGGCTCCTGGATGTTTCTTGAAACTTTGATGTAAATCATTGTGTGCCTTCTTTCTGTAGAGTTTCCAAGTCTTAGTTGATACAGAGGCAAGAATTACTTTTTAATCTGTTTATGTATACTAACGCCATTCGAGCTCTAAGATTCTAGAATGATTCTGAGCATCACAATGACATTAATTCACACCTTATACTCCAAATTTTTATATTTCCAGTTGGACTAAACTGAAGTCCACTTGGAAAAAGTTTACTTTAGATAATTTACGTTGAAAACAGCATGGGAGAACTGCTTTACTATTTAAGGAATCAAACTATTCATTTCTATTAAGATCTTATGATAAAATGAAATGCAAGTAATCACTAAGACTATTACAGATTTTTTTTAACAAATGATTTTATATTTCCCTCTGTGCACCAGACACCAGATAATCAACTTCACAGAGTCACAGAGACTATGGAACGTGGCCTGGTGCTCATGTGTGTGTTATCTAGATCACCAAGTGAAACTACAAAAGCAAACACCTGAGAGGGCTGAGTTGTGCCACCCACACATGCACACTCATACCCACGTGCACACGCATGTACAGGATCAAGTCACCCTTTTCTCTACATACCCTCTGTAGTGCAGTTCTTTCATCCTCACTGTGTAATGCAACTTGATTTCTTTGACTTTTCTCACAACATTGCTGCCCACTATTTTTTTTCTCAAATTATTACTTCATGACTTCTCAATTTATTCTTTTGTGTGTTTCTAAAGTTTGGTTACACATTGTGTATGTGAGTTGAGGCCTGTGCACTCCAGCATTCTGTGCAGATTGGCTAAATGTCTCTTTTTTCCCTCCTTTGCTCCCTTCTTTCCTTCAGGTTTCACTCAGGATTGCTCCACCACTGAGATTCCCCCTAGCCTTTTTATTATTATTTTTTGAAATGGGGGTGACGCTGGCCTCAAACTTGTGGTCACCCTGCCTCAGCCTCCTAGCATCTGGGACCATAGAGATGGGCCCTTTTGTGTCCTGAAACTGGCCTCTTCCATTTCCTTGGTGCCTTATTGTCCTGTTGATGACTCTGGGACCACCACTCTGTCACCCGTGTTTCTTCTAAGTCTCATGTGTTGTGTTGTATGTAGGCACATTAAAGGGCATTATAAAAGTTGTAATTTGTATGTATTGTTTGGAGAGGCACCTTCTCAAAATATACTTTGCTCTGTACTTAATTAATTGAGTGGCTTTCTATATCTTATCTTTCCCTGGTGCCAGGGACCCAAACCTGCCTTGTGCCTGCTGGACAGGCACTCTAGCACTGAGCACTCCCCTAGCTCAGGTAGTGAGTTTGCTGCTGCTGTGTGCATGGACCCCACTGATGACCACCTCGGTAGATGCCGCTCTGCAGGTTTTCCTCCACGTTTTCACCTGGTCCCTTTCTTAAACATATTTAACAGCAGGGAATTTTATTTATTTATTTATTTTTTAATTTTATCAATTGAATGGTTAACAACCATCAATAGAGTTTAACCTCCTTTGACATTTCTTTTTTTTTTTTTTTTAAGAGAGAATTTTAATATTTATTTTTTTAGTTTTCAGCGGACACAACATCTTTGTTTGTATGTGGTGCTGAGGATCGAACCTGGGCCACACACAGGCCAGGCGAGCACGCTACCACTTGAGCCACATCCCCAGCCCGAGACAGCAGGGAATTTTAACCACTGACATCCAATTTAGCTTTTCTCACCATGATTAATACTTAGGTGGAATATGCTGGAAAACTGAGGCTGGACTTCTCTCTGTGTTCAAAGTACCTCAGTAGCCCTGGGAACCTCCTGTGATGATTTTTTTTTCATACACAGCATGTAATCAAAACTAGGTAAGGAGGGCCCCAGTCTTATGTCCTAATGTATTGGTGCCCCCTTCTGCACCTAAGAATATTAAATAAGGTTCTCCAGAGACCCTCACCATAATTTTCTTTAAAACAAATATCAGGAAAAGGTTTTGCAAAGAACTCAATATGTGTTGAATGAAGATTTAATGATGTTAATTCTTCTTTTCTGGTAAAGCTTGGAAGACCTCTGAATAATCTCAAAAGTGATTAAAAGTTCACTTTCTTTGAACAACCAAAAATGTTTTTTTTTGTACAGTCCAATAAATAAATAAATAAATAAATAAATAAATAAACCTTCACCCCCTCCCACTGGGTGTAAAGATAATGAAATTACAACATCAAGGTCCACAAAATTTTAGGTGATACCCTTCTAAGCCCTGCTGTGAATAAGTCTGCTCCTGGAGTTTTCCTGAGTATCCAGCCTCATCTGCCCCACATCACTAATAGAGCCTCAACTGGCAAAAGATTTCACATGGTAGCCAGGAATTTTTCTTTTAACATTAACAGCAGAGTCTCTGATGGGATTCAGGAGCACTAGTTTCAAGGCTCCCAGACACTTTAGAACTTCCTTACCATCAGTCATGACCCATTTGAAGTCCACAGTGGGTGTAGCAACCTAGAGGTGGTCAGCCTTCATGAAGGCAATACCCCTCTTGACCTTGCAGCCAATAAATTTCCAGGATCCTGCTTTCCAGTGCTTGCCCTGTACTGCAAAGGATTTTGCATGTTGATATATACTTCTGGGTGTTCTTGCTGTGCTCTGCTGGTGTCATTGTGCTGAAGAGGCCTGGACACTGCTGGTCCTGGGGTCTATTAATGACTGGAGCAGGAGGCACTTGCATGGATGCCCATTTACTCCTGGGTCTGATGAACTTCCTGGGCCACCACCACCCAGTTGTGCCTGGATCTCCTCTTCACTGTTGCCTTCTTCCCTGCACTGCCTGAGCTCAGAGTCCCCTCAGTTCTCCACACTCACATTCCTCTTTCCTGATGGCCTTGGTGTGCACCAGGGAACATACCCCCTGTTAGCCTCATGGGCTCCTGCCAGACCCCTCTCTGCACAGGTCAACATGGTGTATGCCACAGGTTTGGCATCTCCCCCTGCTGTGGAGTCTTGGTACACTGGGCCCCAGGGTCAACCTGGTGTGTGCCACAGGGTGGACAATTACCCCTGTCCTGTGGAAACCTGGTATACTCTGCCCATACCCTGGGTACCCTGCCAGGAGGAGAGACGGCCTCCAGCAGAGAACTTGGGTTCTGATCTGCTGTGATAGTGTGATTTAAGGACCTCCATTGACCTGTCCTGTGTCCACCCAGGGGAAGACTGCAGGGCTCCCTGGATGTATTATGCTCCCTGGAACATGCCCCCATTTAGAACTGTGTTTGTGTCATCTGTGACTGGCTGTGATTTATACTTTGTTTTTACTTGTAGTCTGAGGTAAACACAAATTTCATTCAGCCAAAATTGAGTTGACCAAATGGGACAATGGGTTGGAACAGAATTTTTTTTTTTCTTGGAGAGCATATTTCTTGATATTGTAAGTGCTGCTGAAATGGAGACTGCATGATTTGGAGGGAATATAAGAAAAGCAAAGCAAGTGAAACCATTGTGACATGGGCTTCTGGAAAGGTACTTTCAGCTGATTCAATGGATAAAAATGAAATTGGACCATTGATCTCAATTTGATGTATTTTTACATAAGAAAAAATATCTTTCCATTATTGAAACAAATTCATGATGGTTAAGGCTGCTTCCATGTGAGGTGCAGACTCTGTTTTATTAATATAACATTATAGATAGGTGTTACAATGTTAATAGA